CATAACATGCACATTTTATCAACACTTAGACAGCTTCTGAAAGGTACAACTTTGAGGAGCCATAAAAAACAAACCAAGTGAATCAAATCTTTATACTTTATAGATTTGTGACCACAACGGCATGGGCAATGCACCACCAACAGGAAATTTGAATCAGAAAAGGGGCCGTTTTGGAAACCGGCCCTTTCAGACAACCATCAACAAGAGATTTTATAAGGATCTTGGCACCTACCATTTTAATTTTATTGTTTGAATAAAAGTTCTGTCTTTAATCTTCTTTCCTCTACTTTCTTCATTGCTCTTAAATATTGTTGTATATTGAATAGAAGAATTAATCGTATGCTTACATCATTTAACAAGGGAAATGTGTATAAGGTAATTTGACAAGGATCTCTCCAGTATGTTCTGACAGTTAACAATAACTTAATGTAAATATAGCTGCTTGTGATCCATTTTGTATTATAAAAGAAATGTACACACTAAGGATAAACATAAATATACCGATGAGAAATAACCATCCAGTGTCTCTTGTGAAATAGTCATAACAATATTCAAAGGTCAACATCGAAGATGGCCACCTTCAAATAATTCTTACCTGATCAGTTTCAAAACTGAGTACACACAAAATAGAATAAAGGAAAACCTACTACATATACTTAAAATTGAGAAAGATCTATCAAGTGCAGTCTGTAACATAGCAATTAGCAATAACAAAATTTAACTGTCAAAATTCCAAAATGTCCATCTGCTGACCATTTTGTTAGGCACAACTAGGGCTCAAAAGGAACAACCAAATTAAGTATCAAGAAGGATCTATAAAGTACTTCTGAAGAAAAAGTAAAAAATATGAACTACAGCTAATGGGCTGTCAATTATATCCAGGTGTGGTAAAAATGTACCAGGATAACAACTCTGTATATATAAATGGAACATTAACATCAGGATCTGATTGTTTAATGTAACATGTTTCAGCTAGCTGGGAAAGCTGTCATAAGAAAAAATTACATAGATATTGCCAGCTACGGCTTATTATGCAAAATTCCTAATGACTTGCAGTCAAAACTTGGCAGTTGTAGGTGACAGTACCTATGTGAGGTTTGCCTTGTACAGAATGACACAGAAAGTGCCATTTAACTAGGCATGAGATATTGTCAGATACAAGCAGAAAGTAAGATATAGTGAAAGTCTATCTTTACATGGAATCTTATTCAATGCATGAAACAGAACTTAACCAAAAAAAATCAATTTTAAATCAATTTTAGATTTACGAAAATTGTTAGTTAAGTAAAACAGAAATAATTCAGCCACAATGTTGTGTAAGAAAATACACCTGTTCATAAATAATGACTTCTCGGACAACAAAAACACTCAGCTGTTATTATCCTGTGTAAATAATATGTAAGTCAGCATATATTGACTGTATTACCTGGACTAAATGTGCTTTGATAATAATAATTTATGTATACCCTATACACACTGACTTTTGCATGAATGTGTCAATACAAACTGACACTGGATAAAAGCCAGTTAAAAACAATTATTGAAGTTATCACAGTATATCTTTCCCCTGAAGAAATCTGACACCCAAACCTCCTATTTTACATTGGCACAGCCCCTGTGAACACTACACTTGTAACATACCCTGTCCTTCACATACTGTTTTTTGTATCAATACCCTTTAAATATTATCAATGATTTTGATCTTTGAACTCTTTTCTTCAGACCATTTATCTCTTTTTAAAGATTCTTCTCTACATTTTCTTCCTTAACTTTGAAGGTACATGTATACATAATTTTAAATGTAACAAGTTTGTTGATGATGAGGATAATGTAAATATAAATTTTGTAGATTTAGCTCCAAAGACAGTGTTTTCTATTGCCTAGCTGTTCTACTTTTAGAACCATCACCGATGGTAACATTCTCATTTTTAAGCAGGTGAACTCCATCCTGTATTAAACTAGAGATCTCTTTTGTAAGACACACACTTTTATACTAGTACTAATACCATTACAAAATTTTTTAAAACTTTGGTTCATTAAAGGATAGCAAATGCCATATGATTAGATACCAGGACAGAAAAACAAAACGTCAATAATTATTGAGCAGAAAATTGTGATTCTTTGTTTATTGTTCCATTTTCAACTGAATCTAACTCCTTTTTAATAATAGATTTTTCCGAAGTGAAACCATTTGATAATTCCGATGGAAAAGAAAAGTTCTGACATTTCACAATTTTAGGGCAAGAGTTCCATACCAGTTAAAAAGAACAAACCCCAAAACAGAATATATCCTTGACAGAATTAAGATATTTGTATATCAGATTTGTGACCATTACCCTCCATAAACTATCAATTATTCTTTACAACACTCTTTCAACAACAGACTAAAGGAATGACAAAAATAATATCTGTTGTTAAATTGATTAGACATGTAAGTTGGAACAGGGTTGCTCATATATACATTTTATGTGTGATACTGGCATGTGTATGAATATTTCTGCAGGTACTCTATACATGGGTTACGATAACACACTAATACACAAGATTTTGTCATCGTCAAAACAAAATCCACATGACCTTTCAAATGCCATGTAACCACACTGTTGTCCTCAGATCATGTATATAAATAAATTTCTTATATCATTACCAGAATTCAGCAATATTTAAAACCAATAACATCACAAAGGAATAACAACATATCAGTTTCTTCATATGATTTATTTACTCGGAGTATTTTGAAGAGTGAATTTCTAAGTTCTTCAAAAACTAACCAAGTAAAAAAAGTAGGAGTTAACCCCAAGTATGAATGTCGTTATTAATCTGTCGTGTTAAGATTTTCTTCTCAAAAAGTTTGAGCATAAAGTCCAACACTTAATGCTAGTGATTAGCCTGCTAATCATATTTCTTGACTTATCCTTTACGTGTGTCAACTTTCTTGTGCTTTCTTTAGCTTGGTGGTTCAGATTTTAAACCTGTCCAATGTTTGTAACTCAGGGATAAACTACTCTGCCTGGGATAGGAAAACCATAATAAACTGTTAATATGATGACACTCTAAGTCATCTGGACCATTTAACATATTGACTACAATGTTTCCAGTAAAATAGTGTTGTTTTGAAAGAAAGAAAGACTGGTATGTTATACCTCTGTATCAGTAGTTCAGAAAGATCATAAAAGTAGATTGTGGGAAGTTGAATGAAAAGTAGAATAAGTTTTTTTTTACTCTGCTGGCTACAAAAGCTATTGTATTTGATATTTATTGTGTAGCATTTTATACCTTTTCGCTGAGTGTTTAAACTGGAGTCTGCAGACTATATACAATAATGTAACCATAACAATTCCAGATGAATGTAATGGGATACATGCTAATGAAACATTGTGTATGATGATATATATACCTGGTAGCCATCATTATTAGAGTATATTGTAATACATGTTAATGATACATTACACATATTACACATCGTGTTATATAAAGCTGTCATCAATAGCCATCAATAGTGTTTGCATGCATCATATTACCAGTTTTCCCTGTCATACTAAATGTAACAGTAAACAGAACTAATGGTGTGAATTGTAATATTTCCCTTAGATCACAAAGACTTTATCACCTGTATTTCCTTCCATGCTAGAATAAGTCAAAACTATGAAGTTTCCAAACAGATATTTGCTCTCAAACTTTCACAAGTCTTTGTCTTCAACAAAATTTTACATCATAACAGAATTATGCTCTAACAAAGGAAATAGTTTTGAGTATAAAACTAACAATGAGCATCAATATAATGATCAAGTCATCAAACCCAGGACAATGAAACAACAGTATTTTCTTCAGTAAAAGGTTTATATCTGTAGTAGGTGATAACATTTTTAATGACATTCCAATAATATGTTATTAAATTGATGAATCCCTTTCTTCTTTAGGTATAATGAAAACAAAAGTCACGTATAAACTTAAATGATCCAGATATATATATGAATGTCCATTTAGATTTGGTTTAATGAAAAAAACCACCAGGTAACATGAAAATCTACTATCCATGACAGATATACACTAGCCATGTGCTCCAATCAATTCACCTTATATGGGAGCAGTGAAAAAAAAAGTGCATATTGACATCTCATATTAACAAAAATGTGATTATTAGAACAAGTAACTCTATACACAATATCTGAAATCTTTGAAACGAGATGAATACAGGGATATAAATCATCACCGTTATTTATATATATATGTCCCTACTTTACTTCTTGAGAGCCTTTTAGACGCCTGTATTTAAGAGATGAACTTAAGCAATATCAATATTTGAAGTCAAAGTAATCTATATCACAGGTCAAGCCGTCCAACCCAATTATACTTCAGAATATAGAAGTTATTGTTAGACTAATGGAGATTTCAGATTTCTGATCAGAAACATTTCTAAGTGGATGATGGCTGCTATACATGAGAGGTGGTTTAAGAGTAACTGAACTCTAATAATGAATGGGAATTTCCCGATCCAGCAATTAGCAACTACGAAATGTCAGACTTATAAAGGATAGCATCATTTGGTTCATTTCCGAATCATCAGACAAGCATTAAATTCAGAGATTCCTTTGTAATTATTTCCTTCAGAAGAAATTGTAATACATGATGTACTTTCACTTGGGATTTCAAAATGAACAGCCCAAGGTTAAGCTAAATGTATTAATTGATAAATCAGTTCTTTTATTTATAACCTGATTCAACTATTTGGGTATAAAAGTGGAAACTATTGAATTCAATTGTCAGCCAATCAATCGGCAAGACAGATTTCCAAATTTTGATCATTTGAACCAGGCATTATTTCAGTAGTTTGAAATTTTGAATGAATTAAGTACTGAAAACGTTATCTATACAACCAGTTTTGTAATAATGCTTTATTAAATACTTTAACAGCATTTTCAATTTGCAAACATTCTCTTTCAACAAGATCATACTTTGTAGTTTTCCAATATTATTGCACATACCAATTAATGTCTTACCTTTAGCATCCTAACTTCGCGTAGAGCAATCTTTTTGACCATTTTATCATCCTCACTTTCCAGAAACTTTTTTATTGCAACAAGCTGCCCAGTTTCCTTGTGGCGACATTTGAGCACCATGCCATAACTGCCTTCTCCGACTAGACCAAGGTTTTCATACTTCTCCATGGTCCTCAGTGCCGTGGATCCCTTTACTGCAAGCTGTCAATGCAGGTAAATCACAATAAGGTCATACTATGAAAATACAACAGAACTGATCTGGAGTCAGACTGAAGCTTCATCAGCTTAAAAATGCTACTCCAAACTTCCAATTTTCATTGAATAAATTTATCAGGGACCACTTCGCTAACATGAAGAAATGTCAAAAAACATATGTCAGAAAAATCCATTGACTTGTCAATCCTTCTTGAAAGGTTGTAACTGCAAACTTGCATGCATTATATTCAAAATATAGTGACAATTAAACTTCAATCTTTTAACGAAAATTACATATAAATCAGCTCTACAATATACATAAGTATAATAATTGCATCTTCATATTCCAACATCAGAATGCAAGATTTATATTGTATGATTTATGATTGATCACTGGCCTCATCCACATAAGGTACTCTAACACTACAAGGTACAACATACTGTAAATGTGCGCTACAATAATTACATGCAAATACATGAATATAATGCAAATTCATATGGAAAAGACTCTTTGTGACCATGCTATAGATGGTGTCAAAAGATGCTGTTTATGGTGTATACATAGTGTCACTAGATATTGAGTGTAATTACAATAGTGTAGACCCATGAGAAAATTTAACCTGTTCTTAATTTCTTAATACAACAAGAAGTCCGTGGGCCTTAATGGTCACCTGAGGTTTTCAGGTCTTTAGTTTTAAAGCCTGTGAAGTTCTTTAAAGTTTTTGACATATTTGATACATGTGATCTTGAAAGTAGGTCAATGTCAGCAATATGAACAAACTTGGTAGCCCTTCATCCCAGCATGCTACAGACCCAAATCAGCACTCTCAGCCTTTCAATTATTTCTAAGAAGTTGTTTAAAGATTTCAACATATTTCACCTGTGATCATGAAAGTGGGTCAAGGTCATTCATTTTCACAAACTTGGTATCCCTTTATCTTAGCATGCTACAGGCCCAATATCAGCATCCTGTGCATTTTGGTTATTGAGAATTAGTTGTTTAAAAATTTCAACAAATTTGACCATTTTTGACTTTAAAAGTGTGTCAAGGTTATTCATTTTAAGAAACTTTGTAGCCCTTTATCCCACCATGCTAAAGGCCCAGTATCAGCACTAATAACCTTTTGTCATCAGTCAAAAATGTCATTGTTTACAATGGACAATGGACAATGGACAATGCACCATGCATGAAGCCAGACAAAAGGCAATTACAATAGGGCGATCGACACTTTGTCTCAGGTGACCTAAATATCAGAAAAATCTGTTCATTGGTATATTTCAATCCAATTGGTTTATGGATTCTGCCATACTTAATGAGTACGCAAGTTCATGAAGGTTATAATATATACGTTAATAATACATAAATGATATTTTCAATAACAATATATATCTATCTAAGCATATCATAAAATTATAAATCTGCCTATGATACCAACTTTTTATGGTCGGTACCGTGAATTTTTATAACCCTCACAATAATAAATCCTTTATGCCAATCTTGACAATACTTATATAGAGTTATTATCAATACTATATATTTATCCCACAATAAGCTCCTGCTTGGTAATAAGTCCATACATAACCATTTCTGTACAGTACTATTAAAAGCAAATAATAGTAAAATACTGAAATGTCTCCATTCATGTCTCCATAACATCAATATTTATTGATATTTACTCAAGGTATCACTTAAAAGCTGTAAAGCTACAAAAAACGTATTAACAACCAACATATATATACTCCTAGAGTACTTTATTACGTGATATTAGCCAAAGTGCTCCAAATTTTGTCTTTAAGCTAAGATCAGAAAAGAATCATGGCGCTTACCATCTTTATTGGCTTTACATAAGTTTGAACCTTTCCATTCTCTTCCTTTGCTCTATCTGTGTTGTATTGATAGGTGAATATGTCATGTGGCAATACCTTTAACAAGGAAAACCTACGTAATATGATATTTGAAAAACGATCCAGCCAGTACTTACAGAAAAATAGGGAAAATAATCACCAGATTTTTTAAAATTAACTCTGATTGCCTTTTTTCCAGTCAGCCACAAATAAGGGACCTAGAGGAACCTTCATATTAAAATCGAAAAATAAAGTCCATCCTGCAAATGCTAACAAAGGGATGGGCAATTTGTACAGCCAACCATTTGATGATTGAGAGGTAAGATCTTCTTGTGTCTACACCCTGGACAATAAAAATATGTCTATTTGATATCAGTAAAGGTAATTTTGATAACTAATCTCTTACTTACAATGTTACTGATCCAAAGCATGAAAAGATTAATACATTGCTAATAAATCCTGCAGATTGAATCATTATATAAAAAAAACTTGGGTTAATTACAAAGAATTTCTGGACAATAATTATCTGAAAGTAGGTAAAGGTTATTATACATTAATAATCAATTACTACCTTGTTATGACAAATGGTCTGAAACATAAAACTTAACAGGAAAAGTAGCTGGTTTATATCACACAACATTAGATGTTTTACTACAATGTACAGCAGTCAGACATATTAATTATTTACACAGGTTTACAAAAGTTGTGTGAAGACTGAACAGAAAAGCTTTAGAGACTGTGTATTATTATACAGTTTGGTCAGTCCAGAAACAAAGGGTTTTCTGGTGGCTTTGTATAGCATTGTAACCATTCTGGGTGCTGTGCCGTGTGACTATGCCAATGCTTCAGTCATATCGGAGAGGATCACAATGGGATTTCAAGTCTACCTCTGTAAATCATATATTAAGAAAAATATTTTCTAAATGGAAAGGGATAGTTATAACATATTTTTTGCTCAATAAAAATAAGAAAAATATTTTCAAAAAATTTAAATAAAGGTATATACATTTGGACCTGCAATATTGCATACCATATGCAATGGTTTCAACAGCATATGGGGATTCTCAATTTTCCTCAGAAATTTTACAACTTACAACAGAATGTCATGTAACTTGAATTCTAATTTCTATAAAACAAAACTTTTGGACTATATTTTTTTATCTACAACACTGAATGAGTTTGAGATATACTCCTACACTAACAGTATTAATCCAATGATAATGTAACAGAAAACTATATGGATTGAGTCTATATTTCATGAGGTACCCCATGCAACCCCTTTTAAAGTCTGGGTGAGACTATTGATCGTATTGGAAGCCTGAACATTGACTTGACTGATACTGTGGCAATTAATAGACTAACAATCAACTTTAGCCCTCTGTAATCAGACAAGCATTAATAAAAATGGTTTTAAATACATAGTAGAAGATAGGTATCAAGTCGGTAGGCGTATTTCTCTACCAATGTAGACCTTTATAATGCTAGCATGCCTTCGTTTCTATATATACACACATACACACGTATGGGAAGCGTTAGCACCATTCTTGTTTGGGAGATGAGCCCAAACTCAAATTACACCTGATTGTAAATTGTTTAAATCTACAGGTAAAGCAGGTGTTATGGTGTGAATGTTGATTATCTCAAAATATACAGACATCACACTATTGTATTGTCATACCAGATCTACCAAAGTCACACGCAATCTTTACAATACAAATTCCTGTTTGCAGTATAAGTTGTATGCATACATTGGTAATGTTTTGAAATAACAATGCATTTAAATGTTTCTGTTTACATTATCAATTATAAGCTGTTTGGCTTGGGTACACATTGCAAGCCTTCTATTACCAATCTGCTATTGCTATGAAACATGACATATCTAAAAATTCTTGCACACATTTTATGATAAAAGGTACTATGATGTCATTATCAGGCCTAGGTAACCTCTGCTTGCACCAATAGAGACTAAGCAAATAGATTCATTTATCCTCTTTAAGACAAAAATTCCATTAGTATTATAGATCTCTGAGGCTACATAGAGCTAGACTGTAGATCTGTTCCAAGACACTTAACATTATATAGAACATCTTCTCAATATTCTCTGGTCTGGTTTCAAAGACATTCTTTCATTTCATAAAAATCTGTAAGTTCTTCAACCACAGTTAATTTGTAGAACCTGATGACTGGTCACAAGTTTAACAGTCAAATATCGTGGATCCAGACCTTTTGATTCTTTGAAGTCTTTGGACCTTTATACCAAATTGGTCAATGGAAAGAGGTCATAAACACAAGGTCATACATTGAATATTATAGAACATATTGTTTGCTCTTTGGTTTACTTAATATTTGAAAATTTCAAATTAAGGAACCACAGCTTAAATAGAAAGATATACATCAAGTGATAATATTTTTCTTTTCATGAAGGCTCCAATACTACTATCAAAATCTCTCTAAACTTAAGAAAGTGACAGAGCTTCATTTGGAAGGGGTACTTTTAGATACCAGAATATTGACCCAACACACCTGACAAATCAGTGAACCCAGATCTAGACAGAAGATGGAACATCAAGGGACTAAATTACAGCATTTTTTTCCATTTTTTTAGTGATTGTTCAAACATATTATGTTAATGATCAACAGAGTGTGAATGAAAATAAAATCAACATAAAGCAATTTGTTACCATTAAAGATCAATAACAGACAACATTTGGGTTACTATTCAGTATCAACTAAGTGTTCAGTGCACTTCAGGTTCCTTTTAATACCCTAATACCTCTTGTTTTCTCATTTTAAAACTTTGGTCCCGATATTCTGAGTTTCGAATAATAAACCCAATGTATCATATATTTGGCTTAGTTTTGATCCATATCTTATGCATTCATATATTTATAAAATAAAATGAACTGTTATTACTTCATATACCAGATCAATTTTTCACAACAAATACAAGTGTTTTTCTTTGACTCAACAAAGTCTCTGTATGTGTATAGCTATTTGTATTACATGCAACTGAACATAAAACTCAATAACTTAAATGAACTATCCATTTTGGCATTTAATACATTGTGTATTACACAACAAACAGTAAATAAAATGATATATAACAAGCAGCATTTACATTTATTCATTGAAAAGTAACACCTAACCAC